GAGACCAGCAGGTGACCAGGCAAGTGGACGGGGAGAGAGCAGGGGTGTGAGTAGGAGAGAGGATGGGAGACACATAAATTCAGGGAGAGAGAGAGGGACAGAGAGAGTGACAGAGAGAGATGAGAGAGTCAGAGTTAGAGGTATGAGAGAGAGACGGAACGAGGGAAGAAGAGAGAGAATGAGGGAGAGAAAGAGGGACAGAAAGCAGCTGCAGTCCCAAGGGAGGAGAGGTAAGACGAGCTTCCCTAAGGCGGGAGGTTCTGGAAGTTCCGAGCACCCTATGGGCAGAACCAGAGGCTCAGAGGGGTACGTGTCAGGAGGCGCATGTGGGGAGCTCCTGGGTACAAGAGATGGTGTCCTTGCTTAGCCGAGAAGCAGCAGATTACCTGCCTTCCCAGGACTCTGCAGGCTGGGCTGTGGTCACCACGGTGGAGAGAGAGGACTTCCCAGCATCCTGGATGATGGGAGTCTCTGTGGAGCGGGTGCAGGAAGCCCCCGCATAATCCTTGAAATTCAGTTCTGGGCACTGGGCAGGTGCAGCTCAGAGGCAGACTTAATCCGATTTACAAAAACAAAGCCCTAGAGAAGACGCCCACGGGAACTGAGATACCGTCAGAAGCACTTGTCTCAGCACGATCCCCAGCAGCAGAGATGAAGAAATGGCCCGTGCACCTCTCAACACGTGACAGCACAGGTACACAACAGGTGAGACCCTCAGACTAGAACAACAGGTATCCAGATGGATAACACATCTCAAAACGTAACTGGGCAAAGCCCCAGGAAAAGCAAAAGACCAACAGGCAACTTGCGGAATGAAACATACAACGTCCCGTTATGGAAACAAAAACCTGTAAAACAATCTGGGAGCAGAGGCTCATGCCTCTAATCCCAGCACCCTGGGAAGCCCAGGCAAGTAGATTGCTTGAGCTCATGAGTTCAAGACCAGCCTGAGCAAAAGCTAGACCCCGTCTCTACTAAAATAGAAAAACTGAGGCAAGAGAATTGTTTGAGCTCAAGAGTTGGAGGTTGCTGTGAGCTATGATGCCATGGCACTCTACCAGGGAAATAGCTTGAGACTTTGTCTCTCTCTCTCAAAAAAAAAAAAAAAAATACCTGTAAAACAATACTCTGTGATATTTTGGATGAAAGCAGAGAATCATACACACAGAAACCCGGGGCAGGAATAGGACCGAGGACGGCTACACAGGGGCCTTGGAATGGATCGATTTTCTTTTTAACAAGGGAACCTCAAGCAGATGTGGCCTAGTGGTAAGATTTGACAAAGGTTGGTTCTGGATCTGCAGGGTTTCACAATATTAAAAAAAAAAATGTGAAATCTCGCAGATCCACAACCAATAAATTAAAATAATTAAATAATTAAGTTTTAACAGGTAATGTTTCCCACATCCATGAGGGATGGGGGAGCAAAACACCCACCTGATCCATAGGCCCCCTGCCCAGCTCTACTCCGGGCATTCAACTACTATCACCAGAGCATGCAGGAATATAAGGTGCATTTATAGCAAGTGCACAAGGTGTCACCCCTTCCCCTAGGTTCTCCTGAC